GGAGGAGGCGGATTGTATGGTCGGTAAGAAGGAGGTCGGTCCCGAAAGGTTCTGTCGTTTGGAGGCCGGTTGAGAGGCGACTCCTTGTGCCTCGTGGCCCGACGCCGGACGTTCTCGCCGCCGATCGTTCCTTCTGGCCGATCCGGATGTCGTCGACTGGCGTGAAAGTGTCGTGCCGAGGGAGGTCTGAATGTAGTCGGATTCGTCTGTTTCCTCTAGGCTGATCACGTCGTACCTCCGTCGAAGCGGAGATTTTGGTCCCAGTACGTCCAGATGCCGATCGTTGAGCTTTGCTTGGATGGGAATCGATTATGTCTGCCGTTCCCATCGTCGATCATTGATTCTGTCGCGGCAGTCGGAGTAGACTTGGTATTCCCGGCGGTGCTCTGCCGGAGTCGGCACGAACAGTCTTCGGGAGGCGGATGGTTCGCCTCGAGCTAGCTGCTTTCTAGCCTGTCGATTGTTAGGCCTTGGTACGCTCTTCAGTGATCGTTCTTGCCGAAGCTGCATGGTTTGTTCCAAACCGTCCTGTAGTTAGGCTGAACGTGATTGTTGCTCGTGAAGCTGTTTCTGGGTGTCATCCAGTTTGGAGGAGAGGATATTGTTGTGCTCCTGCATCCTGATCATTTCCCGCTGTAGGGATTCCATCCTGTCTTCGAGGGTGTTTTGCCGACTAGGCGTTTCCACTCGGGGTGTGTCGGGTGGCACAGCAGGGTTCTCTCAGTCGGCGAGGCCGAGGATGGGACCGTCGGGCGCGGGTGGCGAAAGCGGGGTGCATGGGTTTGAGGACATGTTCGTAGGTTGAGTTAAGAATGGTGAAGACCTCCGGCGGTCGGTCGCTTTTGGTATTTCGGAAGTCTCGGCCACTTGACCCCTTATTGCTTTTGCCTTCGTCCTGCCGACCCTGGAACAAATCCCTTCGCTTATCTCCCGTTGTGCAAGGTGCGGGCACAGCAGGTGCCGTTTGATAGGGAGCTTGATTAGTGTTCTGGTGTGGCAGGAAACGGTCATAGGTGGATGCCGAAGGCTGACTTGTGCTTGCTGTCTGGCCAAAAGATGCTGAAGGCATTCCTTTAGAGTTGAAGTGTTCGGCCTTGGCGTGAATGACTGCCTACTTCATGAGTTCGCCATAGGTGATCCAATTGCTGCTGTGTACTAGGTAGCGAAATTTCGAAGGCGCCGAAGGCTACTCGGTCGTCAATTTCTGGGCACCGAGAATACTCGTGGCTGAATCTGGCTGCATACTCCCGAAGGGGCTCATTGTCTCCTTGCCGAATGGTGTAGAGGTCGTCGGCAGAGTATAGACGATCTGTCTGTATCATAAAATGATTGAGGAAAATTTGTTTTAACTAGTCGAAAGAGTTTACTATACCTAGTTCCAGCCGATAAAACCAATTCAGAGCTGCCCTGCCCAAGGTAGATGGGAACAACAGGCATTGGCCTTCATCGGTGAGTCCCTTGCAACCCAAGACCGATTGAAATGTGTGAATGTGGGTGACGGGGTCTTCCACGCCCGTGTAGAATAAGATTCGGAGGGCCTGTACCTCTTTTTCATGTCGGTAGGATCAGATTCGACTAGTGAATGGTCCCGATTGTACTTTTCCCCAGGTTGGTGTCCGGATCTGATTCTGCTCTTCCTCGATTCGATTGACTTTTTGAAGGAGGAGGCGGATTGTATGGTCGGTAAGAAGGAGGTCGGTCCCGAAAGGTTCTGTCGTTTGGAGGCCGGTTGAGAGGCGACTCCTTGTGCCTCGTGGCCCGACGCCGGACGTTCTCGCCGCCGATCGTTCCTTCTGGCCGATCCGGATGTCGTCGACTGGCGTGAAAGTGTCGTGCCGAGGGAGGTCTGAATGTAGTCGGATTCGTCTGTTTCCTCTAGGCTGATCACGTCGTACCTCCGTCGAAGCGGAGATTTTGGTCCCAGTACGTCCAGATGCCGATCGTTGAGCTTTGCTTGGATGGGAATCGATTATGTCTGCCGTTCCCATCGTCGATCATTGATTCTGTCGCGGCAGTCGGAGTAGACTTGGTATTCCCGGCGGTGCTCTGCCGGAGTCGGCACGAACAGTCTTCGGGAGGCGGATGGTTCGCCTCGAGCTAGCTGCTTTCTAGCCTGTCGATTGTTAGGCCTTGGTACGCTCTTCAGTGATCGTTCTTGCCGAAGCTGCATGGTTTGTTCCAAACCGTCCTGTAGTTAGGCTGAACGTGATTGTTGCTCGTGAAGCTGTTTCTGGGTGTCATCCAGTTTGGAGGAGAGGATATTGTTGTGCTCCTGCATCCTGATCATTTCCCGCTGTAGGGATTCCATCCTGTCTTCGAGGGTGTTTTGCCGACTAGGCGTTTCCACTCGGGGTGTGTCGGGTGGCACAGCAGGGTTCTCTCAGTCGGCGAGGCCGAGGATGGGACCGTCGGCCGCGAGTGGCGAAGGCGGGTTCATAGTTTCAGGAGTAAAAAGGGAGATATGGGTTGATTGTCAATCGGCTTCCCACAGACGGCTCCAATCTGTTTGCGCTAAATCTGAACAGATAAGAGTTTGAGCTAACTTACAAGTGTGCTGATGGTTGAGGATTGGAATGAACTTCTTCCGTGATGTCCGAAGGTTAGAGCTGGGGTCGGATTCGAGCTGAGGAGGGGATACCGGTGTGATACCTGCCGAAGGCACTCTGATGCCAAAGTTAATAACTAAGAGCAATTCTATTGACAATGGAAGCACTAGTCAAGTCAGAAAGTCTTACCATTTGGCTGGGCCAAGGGGCTCTATTTATAGAGAGCATTTGTGATGCTCTTAGCACTTAGTTTCGATGTGGGACTCGTGGGAGTGTCCTCGGAGATCGACATGTGTTCTGACAGGTTCTAGCAGAAGTTCTAAGGTAATCTGACAGAAATTGATTGACGTGATGGTTGGTTGCTCGGCAGACCATGTCGAAGGTTAGCGAAGGGACTGATGGTGCGTAATCGACCCCCTGAATCGGTACAGCGTGCCGAACGCACATGCGGTAAGGCCCGGTTGAGCTGGTCTCGGCTGAGGGTGTTCCATGTGTCACGACGTGAGTGGGCGGTCAGATATGGTACAAACAATAGACATTGGTGGGCTAAGAGAAATGTGCATGGATTGAGTTTGACAATGTTATAATAAGAATTATTTAGTTGAGTTCTCCATGAATCCAATTAACCCCCACCAAGTATTGGGTTCAGTAACACTTATATGTGATTGAGATGCTGAAATTGGACACGTAGGACCAACGGCATGCATGAATTCCACCATACTTATATATGGGTTCAGGAAGATTTCAAGGATTATGGGTATGAGTTTGGCAGCATTTCAACAAGAATTGTTCACATGAGCATGACGATATCTCAACAGGTATTGCTTGCATAATAAGTTTGGCAATGTTATAATATGAATTATTTAGTTGGATTCGATCATGGTCAACGAGTTCTACCATGGGTCCCTTGTGGTTTTAATCCGACAGATTAAATCTAAGTAAAATTAATTTTCCCTCTCTCTACTCACGAAGTTTGTAACAAGGAAAAAATGGGGCCACTATAGGGACCAAAACTCATATCCCACGTAGCAAGGCCCAACTAATATGTCACGATTACAAGCAAGTGAATAAGTGGGTTAGTTGGATCTCCTTCACATTAGAGAAGTGCGGAGTAAGGAAGGCGTAACCTGATCAAACTCCCCACGATTATGGAATGGAGGATGGGACGTGCAAACCTAGAGGGGTCCAGCCTTGGAGAGCTATAAAAGCCCAATGGAGCCCCAACCAAAGGTATGAGAAATTCAATCGAGCACTAAGAGATCACTGCACAAACTCTGACTTGAGCGTCAAAGTGTCTTTTACAGGTACTCTTCCCACTTACATCGTTCATTTTTGGAGAAGCGATTGGGAGTCCTTTCCAATTATGAAAACGTGCGGATTTTAGTTAAGAATGAGGAGGCATTTCTTCTTGAAATAAATCCTGCTCCAACAATGCGCCTCCATTAACGATCACGCAAGATCGAAGAAACTCTGGCATAGGCATCATAACTAAGATTGCAAAGTCAGAATAATCAAAAAGAGATAAAGCTTGAAAAAACCAAGTCATAACAATACAAATAAAACTCTCACAAACGAGAGATATGAAAATCTCTCACAAAGGAGAGGTGAAAAGCTCTTATAAAAGAAAAGGTGAAAACTATACAGAGAACCCAAAATGTCTAGTGACTTATTTTGAACATAAAGAAGCTACAAATAGGATGGTGGTGGAGATCTGACGCCGAAACGCAGGTAAAGATCTGACGCTGAGACGCAACCACCTGTGATGACTGGAGGAAAATCATAACAAATCAATGACAAATAGGGAAAACCTTTTGTCTCTAAAAATGAGAGGAGGAGAAGAGAGTGAGGAAGAAAAAGAGGGGAGATTGGAGGAAGAACAAACAATGGTTTACACCCCCCCCCCCCCCCCCCCCTCTTCAAAGTGAAAATGGCTCTAGGGGGTTTTTGGGAGAGAGGGGGCTAGGGTTTCTTTCTACTTTAGTGTGTTTTTAGTACAAGGGATAGTCTAAACTACAGAATAGGGAATTTCTTACACATACAACTAAAATGTCATGGAGGTAACCTGAGACCTCTAGTCTGCAAGTCAAGACTCTTTCCATTAGCCTAGATCCGTTGACAAATTAATTAGTGTTTTGGCTATGTAATGTAGCAATGTATATATAATATTACTATGAAAGGCTTTAGATTATTACAAATTCATACAGTTTCACAAGAGAAAGAAACAAATTCCCTATTGCATTCTAGCTTTTAACTTGTGGCAAAAAGAAGCCATTTTCTTTACTTTACACCATAATCAAGTCTTGGTCAAACCCACCAAGAAAAAAATTTATATATATATATATATATACACACATAATATCGTCACCATGCTGCATATTACATACACATAATCACATGGTGTGAAATATAGATAAATTAAATATTAAATATAAAATAATAAAACAATTCAACAGATAGACTAGAATCTCAATCCCTGCCGCAGTACATTTTATTTTTGTTAATTAATTCCGAAAACTACACAATAATTTACAAAGTAGAGGTTTTACATGTAAAATATTGTCTCTAAGGGGCATAATTAAATTGAAGTGTAGATTTGCATCTGGCTCAAAATATGCTCAAAGTTATCGGTAGATTTCTCGATGGGATGAGAGTGCATGCCTTCATAAGTTGTCACAACAATGCCTTCGTCTTTGGTTAGCCTCTGAACTTGCTTCTTCACATTGCACCCCTGATGCGTGCACCGGTAGTAGCTTCTGTATATAATAAACAAACTCACAAGTTAACTCAATATGCATGGTCGTATGTCACCATAGATAACTAACTTAAATGATATATTTTTTCTATGTAGTGCACTAGAAAAGGGTCTTACGAAAAAAGGTCTTAATTTGTGGACCCGTGATTTGAATCCCTATGCAGTGACGGAGCCAGAAATTTAAGTGAGGGGCACATTTAAAAATTGAAACTCTTTTCACTTTCTCTATTGTTACTTTTTGTATAAATAATCTAATATTCATTTATAATAACAAAACATATGCAACTTAAAAGAAATTTAGACACTATAATAAAAGAGAAAACAAAAAATAGGGGGAAATTTAAGAATTTAAGAGGAATTTCATAATATTTGTAACAATATTTGAGGAGGGGCACACGCTCGCATGCATTGGCTCCGCCACTGTCCCTACGACACCTTTTGTAATTTAGACTATCACTTGTATTCAAAAAATTATTATTTTTTCCTATGCATGTTTGAATTAATGTACTAACTACTAATATATTTAATCTAATTAACTTGCACTAGTTCTAGAACAGTTGAAGAATCAGTATTCTGTCAACGATTAATCTTCCCATGCTGCTTGAATATTAATAATTGTACACATTGAGAATCCAATATCCCATTTCGCTGCATGTATATTGTAGAACTTCATAATTAATATATCAGAAACATATGAACTAGAATATTATAAAATGGAGCAGATATACAAGGACAGACTAGTTCTTTCCCCTGATAAATGTCTCAATTTGTTAATTATACTTCTTTTGAATTACAACAAATATCAAATGTTGCTCGGCAACCTCATGACCAATATGTCATTCTTGACTATGAAAACTCCATATTAATAAGCTGCTTAACTTTCATTACTTGAGCGATTGTTCTAAATTTTTTAGGTTTTCAAGTGTGAGATTGATGTCTCCGTAAAGAAGAGTGACTGGTTTGCATTTTCAGCCACCACAGAAAAGTATAATCAGATTTGCAACCATGATTAGTTCAACATGAAATAATAAACCTAATTCTTAATTATTTTTTTATACAGGCTATATTCTACTCTAAACTAATCTAAACAACGGGAAGGGAGATTTGAATTTGAGTGCAGAGTGGGGAGCATATCTGCTTGTAGAGGAATTTTTAACATATTTTTCAGAAAAGCATAACCTAAGTTTTACATATTTTGTATGCAGAGGTCGAATAAGCCTAGAATGCTTGATGTAACGCATTTATATGAAATAATTGATCACGGTCGACTTATAGATCGGTGCCATAGAACTAACTATAAGGAGCTACACATACCTTGGAAACTTGTTGTTCTTCACCGCTTTTTGACCATACTTCCTCCATCGATATCCATCATCAAGGATATCAACTTGGCTCCTCGTTTGAAAAGCATATCTGGGTTTTCTTATCTTCTTCTCCCCCTTCTTCGTCCCTAACCTCACAGCACCTTCAGGCCCCCCAAAGCTTTTGCTCTGAGAAGAATTAATATTGTTTGAAACCTCCATATCTGACATCAGCCCCAAGAACCCATTTGCTGCTGGTGGTGACTTGTTATTTTGGAATTGAAGATGATCAGTAGTACTGTAAGCGCCCTGAGGGTTCCCCATGTTCAATGACAAGGAAGAAGAAGCTGGTGGTGTTGCTGCCGAGGAAAAAAATGTTTGGTAATTTTCCATCAGAGAGAGAGAGAGAGAGAGAGAGAGAGGGAGGTTAGTGATAAGATTGATTAATTTATATGGACTGGTTTAAGTTATGTGTGGTTTATAAAAAGGTGGGGCTTCTACTTTTCTTTGGAATTATTAAAGGCAGTGAGGCGGCTCATCGATGGCTAAGCTTTGGAGCTTCTTAATAATTTGTCCTATGTTTGATGTCGTAAACGGCACGCAATTATCAATAATATATACTTGTAAAGAAATGGTCATTTCCACAAAGATAATTCATGATTAAGGGTGGAAATGTAAGCCCTGTTAGCATAATCGCATTCGTTTTAATAATGTAATTCATCAGTTGGTTGGTTTTGACCAAATTTAACCCAGATTTCGTACGGGTATACTTTTCTTTGAAATTTGAACTACGTGTGTGTATGTGTAATCTTATATTTATTTTTAACAAATAATACTTTATAAATAAATTAAGCTTATTCACATGTATATACGTATATATCCATGGGTTAAATAATTGAAGTAGGCGCCCCCACGAGTTGAGGGCCATGCAATTCTGTCTGGTAACGGAGCCGCAGTTTCTTCAGTCAGGACATGTGTTTTCCTTATTCTTGAATCTGTTGCTTCCTTCTGAGTTCTTTTTCTGGCGACTCAAATATTCTTTTTCTCCTTTTTAAGTATCCTTTTGGTATCATATTGTGCCTTGCCTAGTGGTATCATGGCCCCCATATGTATATATATGGATGCATCTGAAAATTATATCCACATGTTCTATATATTGCATGCAATGAAAAAGTCAGACAACTTATACAGAAGTTGGTGATGAGACAACCTTGTGCAAAATAGATTTGATCAAATCATCTAGACTTCTTAAGATTATTTATTTTTTGTGTGGTCAAAATCTAGACTTCCTAAGATACTCTAGTTTATACTATGTTACACGTAAATATGTATATACACTAAGATGGAATAGACCCGTCAATATATCCAACGTTCCTGCTGCAATATATATGATGAGAGGCTATTCCCCCAGGAACAAAAGGATTAAAATCCTCCACACACCGTGCTGGATATACGGATACATATGATATATTTGTTGGGAAACTATTTAGCCTAAAAACTCCGTTTCGAGGAAGTAACCTAAAGATCTAGGGGAAAAGCCATGTAATTAGAAAATTCTTTCTTTTGTAATTGGTACCATGTTCAAATAAGATGGACAGTGTAGGAGAGAAGATGTAATGCATGCTGATGCTGAAACTTTAAAACATATTATCTCGAAACCAAAACAACATGATGATCTTCATCTTAAAGTATACAGGACGTTGAAAACTGACCAATATATGCTAATGCTATTGGTTCAAAGAAAAGGTACACGTGTCCTGTACACATTGGCCCAACAACAGTTAGCGGGTGATTATTCAATGGATGTGGAAAGTGTGAAAAGAAAAAAAAAAGGGCCTACTATTTATCGTCCACTCGTTTTGACCAGTGCAGCAGATAGAAAATGATAGCTTCATATCGGTTGAAAACTGATGTAAAACACAGGTGTCTTCTGATTGAATTGACAAATAATGTGTGGTTTGTGAGATCACTTCTATGCTCTAAAATTGTAGTCTTCCTAACATTATTATTGTTTACTTTTCATATGTAACAAGGCTGCAAGAGAAAGAAAAATACGAGAGCGAAACCTCAATGGACACGTGGGTTTGAATCAATATATATTCTCCCTCTGGCAACGAAAGGAAAGTCTCAAGGAAAGTCACAAGCTAACGATGGCGGGCTGAGTTTTTATTTAAGGTTATATATATTACGGTTGGTGGTGGTCACTACATCACCACAGCCTCTCCTGTCCAAGAAAGTAACTGAATTAATTCATCAAAAGCTTTTAGCATAGTTGATAAACTTAGGCCAATTTATTAAACACACTAGCTAGCTAACTTTCCATGTTCCAACTAGAGCGGATGAATATAAGTTAGGCTAATTGGTTAAGGTAGTGTGCTGCTTCCTTTACACGAGAGTTTGAACAATCTCCCGTATATTAATTGTGAATATTGCTTTGTTTTGTTTTGTTTTTAAAATTATATAAAAAACCAGGGTTGATGAACAACACTTAAAAAAAGCCTTAGTTCCACTCTCCTCCCACATATTTACATATATATATATATATATTTATTTGGTTTTTATTTGTTAGATTCAAAAATGAACACTATAATTAAAAAGAAAAAGTTGACCTTTCAACCATTTTGGCCGTGTGACCATTGAATAAATGGTGGTCACTCACTCCTTTCTTTCCCTCCTCTTTCACGTAGGATGTGGAAAATGTGGGTTATAGCAATTTTGTCCACCAATATACGTAGTTATGGGTTTTAATTCTTTCACGGCAACGAACATCAACAAATGACAACGAACATCGTACTATTTAGCTAATTGCCCAATTAATCAAAGTATAAAACATTATATACATATATATATATATAGCTTTTATTGAGGGATTCCTTAAGTAAGTTTATTTGAGGAACATTCTTCTAGGGCCTACTTATTTGAGGGACACTCTTGTAGGGTCTATTCCGCATTTTATTTCACTAAACAAAACTGTCTATTTTATAAATATTCATTCAAAGATCATTTCTATAAAAAAATCACTTGAATCTGATATTATTTGACCATTCAATTAAATTATTGAAATTTTAGTAATTTTTTGATGCACCGTGTTCATTGATTTTGTAGGACACAATTAGATGTCTAGACAATTTCTGATTTGTCTAATTTTTTTACAAAAAATGATCTATGAATGCAAACCTAAAATATAGATGGTCTGGATCGTTAAAAAAATTTCCGTACAGTACCCTAAAGGGCGTTCTTCAAATAAAATTATTTGAGGGATCCCTCAATAAAAAGGGACTGTGTATATATATAGGTGTTTGGCATGAATAATTCGAGATTAGGTCTGCTTTTATAGAATCTATAAATCTATGATTCTATATATCATCCAACTGTCAACAGATCTTAATTAGCCTACTAGAATATGATACCCACTTTTATAATTAAGCTTTTGTACTTCCATGACCCCAGAGCATGCCCAACTTCTTTCAAATTATATGCTGCAAACGTACCAATCAAGTAAGCACCCAAGTGAAAGTGATGACCTACAACCGACCTCATGCTTAAGGGGGGCATTAATGTAATCCCCAATTACAATAGAGAGTAGTACAGGCTTTAGGATAGGTAATTAAGTGTGTTTATTATTCGTTGATGTTAGGTTAGGGTTAATTAGGTTACCACCACTCTATAGAAGTCCTTTAATATATATATATATATATATATATATGGGTGGATCCGTGGCACTACGTTTTTGACACAAGTTTTGACACAATTTTTGGGCCATTAGATTACTCCACTTTTAATGGTTGAGATTAAATATGACATGGCAAAATAATATTTTTCTCTTTAATTAATATTTATACATTGGGATTAAAATCCTGATACAGAGAATTAATATTTTAAAATCCTGATTAAAATCCTGATGCAAATATTAATTAAGAAGCGAGTTTGGGGACGAGAGAGAGAGAGAGAGCGAGAGAGAGAGGGAGAGAGAGAGAGAGAGCGAGAGAGAGAGGGAGAGAGAGAGAGAGAGCGCGAGAGAGAGAGAGAGGGAGAGAGAGAGAGAGAGCGAGAGAGAGAGGGAGAGAGAGAGAGAGAGGGAGAGAGAGAGAGAGAGAGGGAGAGAGAGAGAGAGAGCGAGAGAGAGAGGGAGAGAGAGAGAGAGAGCGAGAGAGAGAGGGAGAGAGAGAGAGAGAGGCGTCAATTCTCTGTAGAAGAAAGAGAGAGAATTAATTAATTAAAGATAATTAATGAGAAGAGAGAGAATGAATTCTTAATTAATATTTGCATCAGGATTTTAATCAGGATTTTAAAATATTAATTCTCTGTATCAGGATTTTAATCCCAATGTATAAATATTAATTAAAGAGAAAAATATTATTTTGCCATGTCATATTTAATCTCAACCATTAAAAGTGGAGTAATCTAATGACCCAAAAATTGTGTCAAAATTTGTGTAAAAAATATGGTGCCACGGATCCGCCCCTATATATATAGAGGTAATATTCTACTTTAATCTAATCTAACCTACCGGGAGATAAATTTGAACTCGGGTTCAAAGTGGAGAGTACATCTACTTTAGCCAATTTGGCTAAGCCCATGTATTGATAGGTACTAGTACAGAGTATTGAAAACAAAGGAAATGGAAGAGACAAATAAGAAACAGACAAAGTTGTATCCTGCTTTCTCATTGATGCTGTAGCAATTTATACAAAAGTTTGTTAGGGCCAGATCATAAGCTGTCACGTAAGAAAAGGTAAACAACTAATCCATAAGGATAGAATGGCTAAAGTAGCCTTTGAGTAAATCCTAACAGCAACAGGTAGTGACTAGGCGAGTAGTGATCCATCCATGAGGATTAGTGGTTTCATCAATTCCTACCCCCTTGAGAAGGAGCATGTCCTAGGCGACAAATGAAGGAAAGCAAGCAAGGATATCATCTGCTACTTCCCAGGTGGCATCGGCTTTGGGCATACCAACTCATTTGATAAGCCATTAAACAACTGGAGAATTGTTATGTTTGAGGAGGCGACGATCAATGACTGCTTCGGGCAGCCATTGGAATTCGTTGCCGGCAATCTAAGTCCGAAGGTCAGGAGAGGGAAGAATGTGCTGACCCAATTTGAGCTTTAAGAGTGTACATGAAAGACATGGTGAATTTTTGTAGAAGGTGGCAAGCGGAGGCGATAAGTAGTTTTGCCAATGCGAGCTTCATCTTGATATGGGCCATAGTATTTGTGGGATAACTTGAAATTTTTTTGGGGTAGCAACAGAGCTCTAGCAGTAAGGTTGAATGCCCAAATAAACCCAATCACCAATGTTGAATTCGCTTATCTGTGCAGTGTTGATCAGCATAGAGCTTCATGCGGTTCTGAGCCTGGAGCATGTTGGTGCTAAGGGAAGCAAGGAGTTGGTCACGCTACTGCAAGGTTTGGTCAACTGCTTGAACCAAGCTTGTGCCGTGAAGGTATTGGTGGACGGTTTGGGGAGGAACATCGTAGAGAGCTTCG